CTGATTTTGGACCACCTCCACGAAATTCTTCTTCGAGTGAACTACGACCTCGGGTGAACTCACTGTACCATCGATAAACACTGGTCTTGGATGAAGCCTCATCACCAAAAATTGAACTGAGTTCATCCGTGCATTGTTGTTGAAATAGTCCACGTCGAAAGTTGAGGAAAATAGTCGCGCGAAAATGCTCACGGTTCTACCCCATAACCTGGCCTAAACAAAATCTTATAACTTAGTGTAAACAAAACAAATCGCGCTCAAATTTCGCAACGTAACCTAAAAATAGTCAAACTTTACGATAGTGGTGTCAGTTGCTAGATTGCTACACTAGTCTTGCCAAATCTCAAAATATAAAAGGCAACCCTAGTATTAGCGCCGCTTCCAAGGGGGGATGTCAAATGGATCCACAAACCCACATGGTTTCATTTAGGTGTTTGGTGTAGCAACGTCGACTTCGATAGAATCAGCCCAACTGTTTTTCACGAGGTTGGCGATGTTCAAAAATTCGGGCCTGGACAGGACTCGAGCTATACTTGTGTTATCCGGGCACCGTGCTGTTGGCTTTCAGCTATATTTCACAATTGCCGGTCCATAGACAATTTTTAATCCACCAGTCTTCTACGGCTTCCGTTTTTATTGCTTACTTCTTACTGCTCTAGCCTCGCCTTCGGTGATTCACTCACAGGCCACGTTCTCCCCCGTTATCTGACATTTCACACCCGTGAGTATAAATTTTCCCTTCCCCATATTTCCCTACTTTTATTAATAGTGGAATTAATTTTACTTTCCTTAACCTCCCTAAATAACTTACTCAATTTTATTCCTATACTTCAAAGATGAAGTAACTAAACCAAATACGAGCATGAATCGCCTAAGCCCGGCAAACTTCCTTGAACAAATTAAAAATGAAAATGTCGAGAACTTCGCCATCTTAGAAGAGGGCTGGGATCCGCAACCTATCCAAAATGTCCGAAAATTATGCGCTCCAATTCAAATACGCAACTCAACCGCAAGCAAGCCTAGGCATTGAAGTTGGTTTTAACCCACACAATCAATATGTATTGATCCTCACAACTTTTCCGACTTTCAGAGTAATGAAAAACATGGATGAGGCAAGCTCTGCAGGTAATCGACGACCTTGAGCCTTGAAATCATAAATATACAGCGAATCTTTATCTTCGTGTACGTTGTACATTCAACTCTGTTGATGAAAATCCAGTTATCAACAACGATTATTGCAATCCAAGTGATTCTGATTGCAGTGATATAATCTATATGTAAATAAAGAAGGCATTTAAAATACATCTGATGAAAAAAAAGAAGTGCGAAAAAAAGCAGCAATATGAAAAGATAATATGACAAAAACTCTGAAGGGGGAGGAGAGGGAAAGGGATCGATCGCAGTCGGATGGGGCATCAGGCATCAACTAATGAGCTTAGGATAGTACAAGCTAGATAGGTGGTCGGTTGAACGAAAATATTAACAGTTTAATAAATGAGAGAAACGAGATTATGGTTCGCTCCACATAGAGCGTACACGTTCAACGTCAGTAGACAGATGAGCTTCATGCAGGAAAGGGGTTATCCCACTGAGGAAAGTCGTACATGTGTTTTCACAGTCGGGCTAAGAGCTTCAGTCTGAGCCAAGTTATCCAGAAGTTCGAACAAAGACTCGAACTGCTGAAAAGGCCATGGACCAAAAGCTCCCTTTCCTCAGTGGGACAGTAGTTTCTTTGTGAAATCAACTGTTTAAGACACTATCTAGCAGGTATTAGAAGGAGGCGAATGAGCGATGAGAAGAAGAATAGAGCTATACGAACTGAGAACGCCCGGTTAAATCGTCATTTTCGATATCACACGCACCAAAGCGCCATTTTCCTCTTTTAGACGTTGATTCTCCATACGAAGCTGGCTCAAACCCTGAAACGTACAGAAATTGATCATCGCATCTACCCCGACTTCCGAAACACTGACACAGCAAGCCACAATCGACCCAACAAAGAGCCCTCATTGATAAGCACTTCTGTAAGAACAAAAAAGCAGAGCGGAACAGGATCTGTTCGCCAGGAAAGTGCGAAAGACGAGAATGAAAAAATCGCCATTTCGACCATAAAATAGGTCAATCGAAGTAAAGCGAAACAGGATCTCGCAGCATAATTGTATAGGACCTGATATAACTAAGACTCAACCTTTTGTTATCATGTAGGACACCCTCTTTTTACACCAACATTCCGTTGACGCCGTCACACGGTATAAGCGCATGGGAAAAAGTGACAGGAGAAAGTATGGGTAGCACTAGTAGACAGAGTTGTAAGAAGATAAATTCGCTCCTTAGCTAAAGACTTAGAAAGGAAAGCTTCGGGTGTACCTGCTGTCATCAATGCATCAGATATTCCACAGGGACCTCTCAAGAAAATTATGGTATCAGGAAGCAGGGGTAAAATAGTAAAATGAGAAGTGGTCAAGTTAGCAATATACCTCACACTGTTCACCTGAACGTGCACTTGATCATGTGAATGTTGTAATCTTCCGGGTCAAGGAAAGGAAATCTAGTTGTTAGAGCGCGGATTTAGTAGCCGCAGCACGAAATCTGTCTATTTCGAACAAAAAACGAATTCAAAACCAGATACAAAACTGATATGTTAGTTGATTAAATCGATTTCGTCAGTCTGATTACGTTCTGACCGGCTAGCAGGAAGACTGAGCTTAGCGAGTACGCGCATCATGGCCGCATTTTCTGTTCGAAGTTGCAAATTGGCCGCAGCGAGGTCGTCCAATTCCTGCATGCAACAAACCAAAACTACATAAAAGCGTACAAAAATTCACCATCCCTAGCCGATTATTGCCTACTACAATGCCACTCTGCTTAGCCAAATTTGTATCACATTGAAAGGTTACGTACTTTGAGCTGAATCTCGAGATCAGCTATCTTTCGCTCTAATGCGCGTCGTTCACTGTCATCTATAGAGTTGCCCGAAGCCGATTTTGCTATCGGACTCGCTCCGCTAGCAGGGGAACCGATTCGAAACCGTGATTGCGCTGTTCGTAATGACGGTACAGAGCCACTCTGAAAAAGTAGGATGCGTATGACCACTAAGAGCGAGGGAATGATAAATGGATTCTTTCAAAAGTTTAATAACAAAATACGAACATGTTCTTGTGCGCGTTTCAGTTCTTCAACTTCTTTTCGCAATCGTTCACACTCCAATTTCTCTTTTTCGTAGAGCGCTTTGTAGTTCAAATTCATTTCAGTCGGACGTGAATTAATTGTGTACTGAAAAAATGTGGGCATATACTAGTAACAACAGCGAAAACAAAACCTTTAGCTCAGTCAAAAACCGTACAGTAGCCGTTGTGTAAGAATTGTTGCCAATTGGTTGTCCAGGTAATCGGGGCTGCACTCGTCCCACCACAGCCGTTGGAGCAACATTCCGAGTTGTAGTGGATGTCTGACTCTGAATAAAAACGATGAATTGCAGAAAAAGAAACGAATCTAATTTTTGGATGGTTTGAGTTGAAGCTAGGGTAAGAACATAAGTTTGGTGGGAAACTGAACCATAAAACTTATAAAAAACATAACATTCTTCGAAGCTCTATTTGATGCATTGGGATGAACCAAAGAAAATAGTACATTAAAGTGAAAGCCACCGTACCACAGGATTGGTGCCAGTTGTAACTTCGACTGGGCCTCGAACAACATCTGGACGACCAGTACTCACGCTCGATACGGTTGGGCGAGTGAAAACAGAGGCGACAGTTCCAGCAACGCGGATAACAGTAGGTGCAGGCTCTGCAGGTGCAGTACGTGCGGCAGTTGTCGCACTGTTACCGCTTTCGGTGATTTGACGAACTGACACAGCGGCTTGTATATCTTCAGGAAGAACTGGACCCGTTCCTCGACGGTTTGAACGAGATACTGTCAAGCCCTACACAAACACAAGCGGCATAGGAACATGCTTCAAATGAGGGAAAAATGATCACGACATAACTACACAGCAACACAATACTAATTCTACTTGTAACCAATCAACAAATCATGTGAAGCCCTTACCTGACTCTTTCTTCGCATCCCTGAGACTGGTGAATTCGCTATTGAAGTGGATGATAGTGAGAGGGGTGCAACAGATGTAGCAGTCGTAGTCGCCGGAGGAGAACGTTCAGAACTGTTACGATCCACGGTGGCAGGTTGTTCTGAACCTCCGAATCAATTGCAAAAGTACCGGCAATAAAATTACAAATTGTCTTTACTAGTTCTATAGCAAACAGTCAACAATTCCTTTAACAAAAAGCGTTTCATGCCAATTTTACCTAATCACATCTTTCCTAACTACATCAAAAGTCAGAAATCCCGTCATACAAAAGATCTTAGCACGACGGAGGAAAAACGAAAGAGTAGGAATGATGGAACACATTCTCTAAAAGGGACATATGTATATGCATAAGCATCACAGCGTTCCCCACAGCTTCCCCAAACAGGAAGCTACCAGGAGGGGAAAACATGGACAGAAAGTTGCCAAATATGAGCCTCTTCCATGAAATGATTCATGCAATATATAGCATCGATGTGTCATCGAAATCATGTCATATGAAAAGAGAATAAGACAAAACTTCGAACCTCGCGGTGCACTTCCTGCCCGACTGCAGATTGACTCATCTGGTGAACCTTTTTCTCCACTTCCCGAACTTCGATCAGAACACATGGAAGTAGAATCGCGTTCCTCCGAAGCAAGACGTGCAATACCCTTAAAAACAAATTCAATAGACGATAAATTGTCAAAACAACCAAAAAATAAAGGGTAGAGCATTACAGCCTCGAACACTTCGTCCTCCATGACTGGCCACTGACCATTAATAAAAACTTAAGAACGAGAGTAATAAATTTCACGTACCGTTTCCCTCGGAATAGAACCGCTAGAGACGTTAGAAGGCACATTTTGACTAGCAGCTAAAGCTCGTCGCCGAGCATTTTCAGCCATTGCAATCCGACTAGCCTCTTCAAGATGTTCCTAAAGTCATTTCATAAAAACGATGAAACTTGACAAGCACATTGAAACAATGCTAACAATTTGTCATACCTTAGTCACTCCTTGCGTTGAACGGCGATGTTGCCGCTGCATCCTAGCCGTGTTTCGCCTTTCAGCTTCACTTTCAATAACAGCACTTGACTGCCACGGCCTTAAATTCTCAATTTGAAGTAAAGAAAAGGAGCAACAAATAAATGTAAGTCATCAGAGGGGTGAGCATTATTAGGCTGAAAATGGCCCTGGTTATCACTCCTGCACTTCAACCAGAGAATCATCTTACCGGACAAAAGCTATTGCTAATGTGTTATGTTGGTGAAGACTGTTTTCATATCCACGCCCAAAGTAACTTTAGTAGGGACAATCACGGTTGATTGAGGGAGAGTTAGCTACCAGAAGAAGTACTCGTGCAAGAGATGTGAAAGTTTAGTATGTATTGGAAGAGTCAGTGCACGTATTTGATGGGGTAAATAAATGGGAAGGGTTAGAAAGGTATAGTGAACGTTACTCTCACAGAGGTTTATAGTAATTTAAAAATGTGGCACCTCATTTTGCTAGGATTGAGTTGATGTGGATGAAGACCACGCGGCAATTCCCCACATACTACAGGAGGAGCGGCCTCGGTAGAGTTGACTAGTGGACGAAATGCAGAAATTTTGCTCTGTATGAAGGGTGAACAAGAGGAACCCGTAGAAAATGTCTGCGAGTCGACAGGCATAGGGTTGTTCACACGTGCAAATGATACCCACGGTAAATTTGAAGGTGTTGATTCCGATCGCTGCATTGGCACAGGCACACTACTGCAATGCCCATTTAAAGTGAAAAAAACGGTTCCGATGCGAAATCAGATTGGTCAAAAACGCCTATTCACCACTCGTCCACAGCAAAGCGAAATAGCGAGATGGGCTGTGGAGAGAGTAAAGAGGCGTTTTTGGTACCTCGCTTCGCTTCAATACCGCTGGTAGAAGTCGTAGTGATTTCGAGTAAAGAGTGAAAAGGAGCTTACTTCATTATTTCCACAGATTCACAGTAATAGGTCTTAAAAGTGTTAAAACCACCCCTATCAATGCTTGGAATTAGCAGATCTCAGATGAGAATAAAAAAAGAGCACAAGGATTAGCACGGAGACTACAAGTTACAGCCCTCCGAAAAAGTAAACGAAAAAGAAGATTGATTGCGACAAACACCCAAGCAATGAACCTTCCACAATCTATCTACCCTTTCTCTTCTACTCTCACAATCATTTCCACTCCTTAACATTTTTTTTATTAGAAGAGGAGCGTAGGCGTAGTGGCTGCTTAACCCAAAGTGAGGAACTTTCCTGTTCTAGCGTGAGGAAGTGCGCATTGTATTCAGATCAGTCCTAGCACAGATTCCTCAATGAACACCGTCCCCCTCATCAGTTTGCAAAAGCATAGAAACTCCTTTTTTGAAACAAAATTATCAAGAAATTAATATTGCAGATCTCCTATTTGATTTAGTTCAATTAGTTTGCTCAGTTAATTCAATCGCTATTTTAATTTCTTGCAGAAACAATAAAATAAGTGGCAAATCGTATTCAGAATTAAAACGTGGAAGGAACTTACGGTGGCTTCGAGAGAACAGATGGGCTTGCAGCAGTGAAAGGTACACTACTCCCTGATGACGTAGCCAACGACATGGACATTGGTGACGAAGAGGAATCAGACGATGTCGACGTCGAAGAACGAGTTCCAGACGACGCACTTGAGCTACCAGATCTGCAATTTCCATTCCCACTCCCATAAATCATACATGTGGCGATTGAACATGTATCCAAACCCTCCGAAGCTTACTAACAATTTGCAATTGAGAACGAGTTTCAGCTTAAAGTAACAACAAGGATCTTGAATAGAAGAATGAATCGTAATGCCTCACAATCCAACCGCATCCATGCAAGAGCTAATATGAATGGAATCTTCAAATCTTACCGTGTTACTAGTTGAACGCCCCGATTGATCCATGAACTAGGTTGTTGGAACGGTCGAGTAGGTATTGAAACCGTAGCAGAAACATGTTGATCACCACTTTGAATAGAGGATGTTGATCCGTCCTAGAAACAGACTGAGTTCACAGCCATTCCCACAAATAATTTGAAAATGAAAATCTCACCGATGACTTTGCAGAATCGGCTAAGGAGACAGGCACATTAGCAGAACGACTTAGGCCGACTGGCTTGGTGGGAGACGGTAATGTTCGTTCTGCTGATACGGTAGATCGTGTACATGACGGGAATCGTTCACCAGACATTTCCTGTGATGTCCTGAAGCACGCCAGTGGGTGACTTGCCGTGGAAAGTGAGTACACCAACATGAATTTGCTAATAAGAAAGCAACCTTTCTCTTCTTATTACTTCCCACTAAACCCACCAGCAATTTCACAAGACGAGACACTGTACATCTAGAACTTGCGCCCCACTTCATTAAGACTCTTCGTCTTCAAAATCAGGGATATCATGCTAAAAATCCTTTCCAGTCTATTTACTAGAAGTGGGTAAAGTGGGTTTTTAGGATGAATGTTCTCCTTCATAACCTGGTGTGGCATACTGGTAGTGAACGCAAAAATTGTAGCAACGTACCTTGGTAACGAAGGAGGTTCGCTAGCGCTTCTTTCTACTGACGAGATCTTTTCTTCAACTGCAGATGGTGGAGAGCTAGAATGACTCTCATTGCTGGAGGCATCTTGCAGCGATGGTGTCTCCGATGGTGGTGACGGCGATCTTTCTTCAATTTTTCGCAACTTCACAGAAGAGTGTAGAATCTCATTTTCGCTAAATCGAAAAAAATCATGAAACATATGGAAGCAAGGTAATATGAACTGCTTCCTTTTATTCATGATAATACTATGATAGGACAACATCAAAATATACCTTGCTTGATCTTTATGCTTTAACTCTCGTTTGTGTTCTGCAGAAAGTACACTAGTATGCTCCTCGTGGGTTAATCTGGTATTCTTCTCCTGAACAGTGAACAGATAAGAAAAGCATAAATATTGACCATAACTTCCCCATTTAAGTGAACTGATAAAGAACTGATAAAATGTTGAATCGAACCCATACCAAATGATGCCAAAAAGAGAGGTTAGCAATTTATCATTACAAAAAAAATGTTGCCCTTCTAGAAGATACCCAAATATTGGGTCCAGTTCAAATCTTCTTGGCCCATGCATATATTAAACTAGTCAAAATTAACCACACAAAAAATGAAATCACCTTATTATGTTTATTATGCAAAGCAAATGTGCTAGAAACACATAACAGCATACCTGCAATATACCAGCAGGAGCAGATGGTGGAGATTTCCGTTTGTCGACTGATCGCTCCAAATCCTCCAAGTACTCCACAATGTCTTTGTCAGCAACGGCCAGTACGTTTTGACCCTGACAATGGAAAGCTGTTATGTAAACTGTAACCTAAAGAAAAGAATACATATGAGAAACATCAGTTATAAAGATGCGATTTCCCAAAGGGAGGTGAGGTTGCAAAAGGAAGATGAGTGAAGACGAAATGCGCCCATATTTAGTGAAAGTGAAAAATAATTTCCACAATATTCAAAGTATATCTCACTACAAATTAAGAAAATTGACCACTAAAAGTTTCAAATGGTATGAAAACTTATAAGATGAAGAAATGCCCACAAAAGTCCGCAACGTTCGGAAAAAAGAACACGTGTACTTACTGCATAGTTAGTATCCGTGATACTTGCGCCGTGCTCGAGTAATATTTTACACGAATCCTTTTCAGCCCAATGGGCCGCTGCATGCAATGGGGTCCATCCGTCCTAAAAATAACGAAATACAACCATATGTTGTGGAAGAAAAAGAATAAAAAATTATTACACAGAAAAGCATCTAAGCTTTACACATTTAAGAAAAACTAGTAACACTCTCGAATGCACCTTGTCAGGCGCTCGTATATTTCCTCCAGCTTTTATAAGCAGCTCGAGAAGCTGCGTATAGCCTTTAGCGGCAGCGACATGCAAAGCTGTTGCCCCCGTTCGACGATGCGGCTGGTCGCTGAATCAAAAAAATGGTTGCAAAGAAAATATACAAAATCTAAAATTTATGCAACACAGAAAGTCAGTGATGAAGCTAACATTTCTTACCGGTACTCTCCATCGCGCAACCATTGTTGAGCATCTCTCATCATAATTGCTAACTCTTGATCACGACATTGCTCAGGAATAACTCCCTGATCACGGTAATCACGTTCAAGATACTCTCTACAGGACTCATCGTCAGCTAAGTCCAAAGCTAATTCTTTATCACTGCAACAGGCACAATTTAGAAAATGTGTGAAATAAACCTGATAAAAAAATACTCTGAAATTTGAATACCTGTTGATTACGTTAAGTCGAGCCCCGTTTTGACATAGATACTTTACTATAGCTAAATTTCCGCAGCAAGCTGCAGCATGTAGAGGAGTCCAACCCTCGTTGTCTTGAGCATTTACGTCAGCACCCTTTTCACATAAAAATCGCACCATTTCTGGTTTGCTGTCGATGACTGACTGGAATGAAAACAAACTTTAATGCAATGTTGCCAACACAGTAATGGCAAATGCATTGCGAAATAAAAAACAGAAAAATGTGTGAAATACCTGATGAAGGGCAGTCAGTCCATCAACAGTGGCAGTATTTATATCAGCTCCCTTGGCGAGCAGCTCTTCGACTTCTTCTTCATCGCCCGACATGCAAGCACTCAAAAAAATGTCGCTATCCTGAACAGATTTATTAGCAAATCGATGCTTTAAGCTCCACAAATATTAAAATTTATGCAAAACNAAAACACTTAGAAAAATCGGAAAGGGGACTTTAACTGGCTCTGTGGGTTACGCTATATTTACCAAGGTGTCACTGAATCGGTCGAAATACGGATAGGGGTCTGGCAATATCATGGAAAATTTTGCGATAGATCTCTGAATCTTCTAGCACCCCTTTTGAAAAAATTCGATCTGATGGGGCTTTTGGACAGTACGTCAAGCAATATCGAATTAACGTAAAAGTCAAAAGTCGATTACTTTTGGCAAGTGATTTTGACGAACAGACCTGAAATTTCACACGCGAATTCTTTCGACGATGCACGGGTTCAGCATTCATTTCGCTACTCTCCCACCGCTGCAGTTGCTCCTATAAATGAAAACAAATTCGATTGAAGCGATGGAAACGGTAGCTCTCAACGAAAACAGAATAGAATGGGGAACGTGAAGGGCCAAGTGAAATACGATACTGTCGCCTGTCTAAAACCTGTTCACATCACTCGCTGCAGAAATTTAGTGTGCACAACAAAGCTGTATTCTAACATTGTAGTTAGGAAAAACTGTAAAAACAGAGATTTTTAAAAAATAGGAATATCTGACTAAAAATGGTAACAATTAGCCACAATAATCAAGTAATATCCTTCCGTTCCGACATATAAAAAAATATTGATTCTCTCAACTAGTTCGAAGAAGTGGCAAGACAAGGGCTTAAATGCGTCACATTGTTGACATGGGTGCTTACGGCGCACAGGACATGATCAGCGAGAACGAAAAGAGTGCTCCGAAGAAACCTGCTTCACTCTTCCTGCACTTTAGCATGAGACGCAAGAGCACAGTCAAGAAATGAGAATAAAGTAGAGCGCTCTCGTCAACGACAAAGATCGAAATAATGCTGTGATTCATGTATGACTGAAGGTAATGTTGATCGATCGGGGCTGCTTTCATAGCAATGAAGAGGCGCAGCAAGAAGCAGAAAAGCTTGATAACTTTTTTTTCAATCGTAACATGACTGGGTCCACGACACTTGAAGTCGGCGAGCCGGGCAATGATGTTTTAATTTCACCCGTAAGAATGTAGTAGGCGAAAGCGAAAGAAAAAGACTGGAACTGTTTTTCATCCTGGTCTCAAAGGCGGCGAAAGGCAGGAAATTCGGGTACTATAGAAACAGTTTCAAAAAACTAGTTGGATACTTCCTACGCCCTTCCACTATAAAATTTCAAGGAGAGAAACTCAATCAGAAACAGTTTGCATCATTTAGCCACCCAGTGAATGGACGTGGTAAGAGGATGTGGGGAAGCACAATTTAGTCAGTTCCAAGAATGTGCTACCTACATTCGGGAGCAACTACTTATCACTAGTAAGGAAATGCTGCAAAGCATTTTCCTAAAGGTATGACTTCTCCAATATTTGCTACATTGTTGGAGCTCCCAATATAAACCGTGCTAATTCTGAATGAAATTATAAAAAGTCTTATCAAAGAGACATGTCTTTGAATCTTTTTTCTTGTCTCCTCGTGAGAAATCAGCCCAAGTACATTGGTGTAGTAGCCAAACTGGGGACATGAATTGGCGCTGGCTGATTTACCCAGTCCATGAAATCAAGATTATTTTCAAAAATTCATGGTACTACGAAGCAGTCATAAGTAAGTCATGGACAATTCATACGAAGATCATCACCTGTTGGTCTTGTACAAAAAGTAGGAAAAGATGGGAGCATCACATGACAAATTGACATGACTAATGTTGACCGATCACCCTGGTATACAGAAAGCCTCTCACTACTCAAGCGCCACAGCTTCTCTTAGGATCGATCACGTATACTGTTAACACTATTCGGTTTCCATGATTCGCCCTTTTTCATTGGATATCTGAGTCTGTAAGCACGATGATGTGTCCGCTTTGCTGCAATCAACCGATGATGACTCATTTTTTCCGGCCATGATGCTTCACTTCATCAATATGCGAATAGTCGAAACATGAAAAGGGGGTTTTATGAAGGAGGAAAGCAATGACGTTGAACACAGAACTAGAACACAGCTGACGTAATCAAAGAAATTACAATTACGACAGCAAACGAAATAATGGGTGCACCAACCATACTACCAGGCGACGAATTAATATGCCAACTACGACACACCAAAACTTTCACTGAGAGACTCCGATTGAATTCACTTTCCATGGAAAAATGCTCGGTGAGCGAGAGCTCGGTGAAGCGGCGGACTGGGAGGTTTACTCTTACATCAACACGAACTCAAGTCAGCTGGTAAACGTTGACTACGCACGCAATTCATCGATGTGAGAAATTTAACGCTGAGAACTGACCGAGTGCATAGCCGATGAGGAAAATATCGTGATGGTCAAAGATCAGAAAATGAAGTACTTGGATGTCCCAATAATCATCCACTAGCTAGTTTTGACAATACAGAGTAGTGGAAAAGTTGACGGACAGCAGTGGCTAGCCTCAAGCGGCTAGACAACAAAACGGAGGTTCCACTTGTTTTGTTTGGTTATGCGGCGAGGTAGCTTATGCCGGCGCCAATACCAGAATTACGGGCAGAAATTGGACATACAATACAAAAATTATTTCCGAAAAAAAATCAGACCGTGAGAAATGGGTCGATAGGGGAAGGAAGAAACGGTGCTTCGACGGCGTCATCGCCGCCATTCCAAAAAGTGTCTTTTTGCGAAACGATAAATAGAGTAAAGAGGGTTGATCTTCACTGGGAGAATAGCTATACTCAGTACGCAATTCCCATAGAAATCTGAAGCAGTCGAGCTAAAACGACAGCAGATTAAATAGTTGGCAGAACCAGAGCTACCATTCACTCTGCATATGAAGCGTCTCCTTCAGCGGCCTTCA